TGTAGGAGGAATATCATCCAATGACTTCTTCCGCCTTGGATTAGGCGAGAGGCAGTAACAGACTCTTACTGACTAAAAACCACCCCGTTCCTACTCCTGCTTAGGCCTTCCGCGGCTCCGTATAGGGCAACAGTCAACAACACAAAAAGTCCCGCATTGGACTTTCAGAAAGTTGGTCGCCTTATACATGGTCATACACAATACGCCTTTTTTTTTTCTTGAATGGCAAACAATCTGCCCGCCACTTCATTAATATTGACATTGACAGCACAACAGTCATTCCAAATGTCAATAGAAAACTGCAACTCAGCTGGTTGCATTAGTTCAAAATAATTTGAAACTTGGAAGAGATTTATTTACATTTACCGGGTCACCGACTGTGTTCTAAATCAGTGAAGCTTCAAGCAGGACGATTGAAGTGATTTAATGACTTCAATGCATTAGATGATTACAGTTAGAATTCCTGAATTCACAAATTAGAAAAAGTAAGGTATCTATATACACAAGACCTACCAATCTTAACAGAACTTGACGTAAATCATGACTATATCAACTAGAACACTTGTTCAAATAGCTGCTTGGGGTGGATTAATCGTCAGTGGTACCGGATATTACTTACAAAACCGTATTATTGATAGGGTGAGAGGTTATGATTACTATAAAAATGCTCTTAAAGAATTGCGGGCCCATTCTGGTGCAGTTTTCTATCTAGGGGAACCCATCAAAGATAAGAAATTCAAACTGAGTGACTCTGATAATAACTTTTCCGATGGCAATACTGCTAAATTTAAAATACCGGTTTCTGGACCTAAGGAGAAAGGGACATATTATTTCTGGGCTGAGAAAAACAGTGAAGAATGGAGAGTAACTAGAGCAGAATTAGAATTAAAATCTAAGCCAGATTCAAGACTTGTCATAGTGAAGTAGAAAATAATTATTAAGTAGTCAAAAATGTTATTATTTGTATAATAGAATAAATTATTTGAAGTAGCAAACTACCATTTTTCATTTATAAAGTTTATCCTAATTATTAAGTTCCTACTATTCTAATAAAATTCCTAAAATGTATCAAACCACATAAATGAGCAAAACTTTTTTAATTACAGATAATAAATAACAATACGTAAAAATGTTTATTGGAACATCAAAAGAAAAATTCAAATTTCACAACACTTTACTGTGTCTTGTTCAAGCTATGCAAGGAAAAAATATAACAGTGGACCTGCGAAATGATTCTTGTATCTGTGGACAAGTGGCCGGTGTAGATGGGTAAGGAACAAAAATCATGATGATTGTACCTAATTGACATTCATTACTGGAATATTAAAACTACACAGAATATTATCACTCAATATTTTTATACTTATTTGCAGTTATATGAATATTTCTTTTTCAAATGCAGTGTATTGTGATCCTCAAGGGAATGAATATCATTTTGACAATTTGTTTCTACAAGGTCGTAACATTCGATATGTACATATTCCTGAGACTGTAAGTGTGCCTTCCTAGTTCAGTTATATTTGTACTTGTAGATAACATGTTTACATTTTACTTGTTTAATTTTAGGATTCAATGTTATCAACAATTCAAAATGAAATAGGCAGAGGGAAAAGGCCAAAACCTGACAGGAGGGAAATGAAAAATTCCAGAAAAGTGCAAAAGGCAATGAAGCAGCACATGGAGACTGTAGCTTTATTGGAAATGAAATAGCTATGTATGTAAATGAAGTTAATAAATGAATAATATCTGATCTTTGTCTTTTAGTGAAAATGAAGATAAAAACTTAAATATTGTGTGATTTAAATTTTAGTATGAAATAAAAGAAAAGACTGTATAGAAACATTTATTAGCTAACATTCTTGTAATTTTATCGTAAAATTATAATTATCCACCCTAATTTTAGAGATCTGCCTGGCCGGATATATTATCAGATTTAAAAATTTTAGCATGCACACATTACACGCAACTAATTGTTACTTTACGTTACTTTGACCACAATATATATATTTATATATGTATTGTTCTTTCAGCATTATATTATAATCATCAATTAAGCTATTTGATTTGGCTGCTTTGACAAATTATTTTCTTATAAAAGACATAACATAACATCACACTTTTTATCCTCAAAGGTAGGCAGAGGTGCACATTATGCCACTGTACAATGTAACACCAAGTTTTCAATTTATATATCCTCTGCATGGGTTTGGACTGTACCTAAATAGATTATGACTAATTAATCTATGTTGTTTTTACCTATTACTTATTATTCTTGATTATCATTTGAGGAGTTAAATCCACATTCATTAGATCGATTATTCTGGCAATTTTCATTTGACATTGATCCTTCATCATTTATTGACATTGGATGCAAGCAAGTGTTTTCAATAGCTTTGTCTTTTACAGCTTCATTTTTATCTTCTTGGTTGAAGGACATGTTGGTGTCGTTGAGCTCTCTCTCATACGGAGGGGGCGCGTCATTGTGTACGTCTGATAGTCGAACATCATTGTCGGTATAAGACGATAAGTAATATTTCTGTTTTTCGTAATTAAAATTATTAATTTTCAAAGTTTGTTGTGCGAACAATTCATTTTTATTTGACTGTTCATTCTGAAAAATTTCTGGATTGTTAGAATAGCCTTGCACATAGTTGTTGATAACTAAGTTTTTGAAGTCATAGTTTTCTTGTTTAGGTGATTGTATATTGTCATTCATCGGCGTTTTGTAAGAACCGTCTAGTTGACCATTTACAATATAGTTTTCCTTTGATTGTGACGTACAGTTAGAAACTGTTTGTATGACATTGGTATTTTGCTTTTTCTGTACAATGACAACTTGTTTAAATGATGGTTTCATAGACCGATGGTTCATTGGTTTTTGGAATACGACATCGTTGTCTTTATATGGAATTATTTGTGGTGTTGTTGTCTGGGGTTCAGGGGCCTGGCTGCAGAGGTAGTTAGACTGGTTGATGCTGGTGATAATCGAATTCGGACTCGGTGACGACTGCATTACATTTGGCCTCTGCACAGCATTGGGATTCAATGTGCCTAGAACCAACAGAAGTGTCTGTAAATATCACTTGATTTAATAGATATAATTATTTAATTTTGCCAGTGAAATCAGTAACCTTGTGAGATATGTTTGCAAGAAGAATACCGTGACATCACTAATCAAAGTGCATACGACAAAATGTCATAACTATTTACATCTGCAGTACGAACTGAACAGAGCAGGGATCTAATTGGATGCATTTATCAATCTACTAAATCAAAGTTTGAGTGTGGGGGAGCCATGCTTCAGCACGAAAGTACCGGCTCGACCGGAGTGATACCACGGTCTCACAGAAAACCAACGTGAAACAACGATTACACTGTGTTTCGTCGTGTGAATGAGGTTACCGGAGGCCCAATTGACCCCCCCCCCCTTCCCCAATCCCTGAATCCCTAACAGTCCTCAAATTCCTTATCCCCAAAACTAGTAACGCCCCTGGTGTTCCAAGTGTCCATGGGCGTCGCCTATTGCTTACCATCAGTCAGCCATGGTGATTTGTCAGCTCGTTTACCGGCTTATCCCATAAAAAGATCAATTATTATCATGTTAAGTTTAGTATACCTTGCGGTTTATATTTTGCGAGTTGCGCATACACTTGTTTGATACGTTCTATATTGACTTGAGACGCTTTCGAGTGATCCACCATGGGTAACGGATAGTCACGGCCAATGATGCACCGTGCCGACTGCTGCACCGATTCTGGAGCCACCCACGGCTCATGGATGTACCGTGTTGGCATATTCTTTAACGCAGGAATGTATCTCCTGTAAACACGCAAACAAAGACATTCGTCAAATAAAGCAATATATGAATTGCCTGTTCAGCTTCTTTGCATAATATAATATATCGAATGGGATGTTGTCAACAGAAATAACGGTCACAAAATGAGAGTACGCCAAACGAAGCGAAAGCATCATTGACCGTCATCACCGGCGCGGCGTGTCGTCAGCACTGCGTCACCCCTCTCGAACAATAAGTTGCGCAACATTATGTACTGACGTATTGTGTGTGAGAACGGAGACATGTACTACTATTGCCATGTACTCATCTAATTACATACGTAGTGATGCTACATGGGTAAATGACTAACCAACCATGGCGTGATATTTAGAATTTTAAAGTTGAAATTACGATTTCTGCCCCAAGCGAAATATACGCAACTTGGAGTTTTACTCTGTAAATAAAATTATGAATTTAATAAAATTTATTTAAATTCTGCATAAGCATGATAATAAAATTAATTTAAAAAAAAAGCTACATACCTTATGAAATCACCGTTAGGATCGGTTTTGCGACCGAAACGCACTGGACAATAGCAGTGGAAAAACTGCTGGAAGAATGATGAGCACGAGAGCCACATCCACATGCCAGCATTGACCGACCAGTCGGCGTCGAGAAGCAATTCATCGAACACCTGCAGGAACGGGGACCCTCCTCAAATTAATAGGTGTCGGCAGCACGGTGGTTTTACAAATAATTCATTAAACTCGACCGCTGAGGCCACAAACGAGATTGATGATTAATCACCTAAAACTTTCGCACAAACTATTCCATATTGCAGACTTCGTGAACAGTTCAGTAAAACAGAAACTGTGTACTGAGGTGCATTTGAATATGGAAAACTTATAAAACCCCTGTTATTTGAGTTTTTGGATTTAAATTCTAAATGAAATGATTCTAAAGTACTTAAAAACGTAGCTCTTCTTGCCTTCATTCCTTCTTCCCAGGAGATCCACAAGTCTCCTCTAGTTAGGAAGCAGGCTACTGCATGTCTGGCTAAATGATGGATCCAGCCTTCCTCTCTTAATTGTATCATTATTGCGTCTATCCATGGGAACCCAGTTTGACCCTAGAATTAAATATTTATATTCAAATGAAGAAGGTAGTAATTACCTAGGGTTTAATTCGAAAATGATCGCGGACGTAGTACATCGCGTACGTAATATAATAGTAGTACTTACACTAGCCCATTTCGCTAGAGCTTCTTGGTTCTTTTCCCATGGGATTTGGACGCAAATAGGATTCCCTTCCATGCGATCAAAGTTAGGATTACGTGTCGCCGCACAATAGAAAAATTCTCTCCATAGTATCTGTCCATGAAGGGATAGTGGAGGTCTTACTCTTTTGACTCTCTTATACAATTCTGTCAACTGATAATAAAATAATCTCGTTGACAAACAACCGAACCTGAAATAAATTACAGCACATAGTAACTCAAGTTTTTATTTTCTCAACATTGAAGGGAGATGTCGTAGTCGTAACATACCTTAAGTATGGTGATAAGCCTGTTTGACTTGCCAGCAATGACTGCGGAGTCATCTTTGGCCGACCAAATGAAGCCACCCACGCTTTCCTTTCTAGATGTCGTTCTAACCTAGCTAGAGCTTCACTCTCCCCTCCAATCCAAACGGGAGGTTTTAATCCCTCGGTTTCGAATCCTGCAATTATTACATAAAATAAGTAATTTTATAAATATATGCCTAATTAATATTAATTTATAGGCTAATAAAATGTCATTAGGTACCAAGTTCTTCGAGAGTCGGTACTCCAAACCGATCGTCGTGGTCATCGGTTAGGGGCGTGGTTGCACCGTTTAGCATTTGAGCTGATATCGGCGCTTCTGCAGGCGGAGGAGGAGGCATACTGGCAATCAAGGCCTGGAACTGGTGGTACGTGAGAGGCGCTTTGCCACCATTTCGTTCTATAATTCTACAAAAAGTATATAGTATATTAAGTTATTATAATTAGATTATTAAAGGCTCTAAATAATTTTGTTCCTTATGTAAGCAATTGTTTAAAAAAACTTACTGATCTAGTTTGTATAACGTGTGGGATACACGAGATGTGACAGTGATGCCAACCTCGCGGCATTTTGACATAATGTTGTGATCCCGCACCCGTCCGTACGGCTCGGGATCCTCTTCGAAGGTCAACGCAGTGGTACCCCATTCTCGGAACAATTTAGGTAAAGCGTCCGCGGGTTGTCCTCGCACCACGAACAGACGCGAATTAAGTTTCCGTAAACTACTATCTAAGTCTTCCAAACATTGCAGCAGAAACCTGTCAAGATAAGGTTTATCGATTCAGTAAAACATGAAATGCATAAAGGCAAATGTAGCAACATCTACGTAGCTACACACGCAAGTGTGTACTGCGTCTGTCGTCTACGCACGAACTATGACTCAAACATCTCATGCAAATATTGAATCATGACATTTGATTTGGTGGCAATAAAATTATATAACACATTCAAAGATTTACCTCCATTTGTTGATGCCAACATTAGAAGAACTAGCGAACCATGGATCAATAATGAATACGCATCTGAAGGTAGCTGCGTCTAGCAGGCCCTCCTTTAACGCTGGGTTATCGTGGAGGCGCAGGCCTTTCCGGAACCAGTGCACAATGTGCTTGCCATTAGAGCGGCGGGCGGCCGGCGCTGGCGGTGGCGCGGGCGTAGTGGCGGGAGGAGCGTGCGGACGTACGTTCGGCGCCGGCAGCGTCTCCGCAGCAGCTGACATCTTCACGTAGTTACCCACATCGCACCTGGTGTAGAATAAGTTACTTTTGATATCTGGAATCGATTTTCAATACATACATACTATAATAAGTAGCGGTCAAATATCCATGTAGCCAGTACTCACACGTGAAGCACTCTCCACCACCCTGTTAATACGAAAACATCTTCCATTCTTTGGAAGAATCGGGTCATTTTTCTTTTGGCAATAATTCAAATTAATACGTAGTTATTGTCAGTTACATTAAGTACATACGACAAGAAAAAGCGATGAGAGTTGTGATGTGAGTAAAACTGAGGCCTTATACTAGTTTCTTTTTCGTTTAAAGTAATTGAAACGAGACGGCGTCCGGCGCTCTGATTGATTGGTTCATTGGAGCCGGCCAATCACAACGCCGAACGCGTACTCGTTACGATTACTTTAAACGTAAAAGAACCTCATACTAAGGCCTGTGATGACTTGATGAAATCGAGATTGTATTTCTAATCTCCTAAACAAGAATCATTAACTAAAGTTAAAGAAATATCAATACAAATGTACGACCTCAAGGGCGATCACGTATTCCAAGAAACAATGTAGTTCAATTCAAATTTTATAATATTAGCTACTTACAAATCAAACAGTCTTGATTCTTGAATAACACTGAGTACTACATAATACTTGATTATCATTACATTATGCTGACATGATACAAGCGAAGTATTACGCAACTTTATGTTATTTTGTTTACGTTTTGCTGAACTATATCATTCCTTACGCACTTGCAGCCATCGTCTTTAACACATTAAACGCCATAGAGGTCAACGGTCATCTATAGTAAAAATTTTGCCAAAAAACAGTTTTCTGTCGGCAGTCAAGTAAGATATAGAATAATCAAATAATCATTATGGAGCTTTATAAATATATTCCTAATTGCTCCTGGCTTGTAGGTGTAAGATTTAATTTTTTTATTAATTCAACCTAAGCACTACTGGACCATTAGATAATGTGTGCATGCGTTGACAAGTATACCTACGAGTATATGACGTATGTTTTAGTACCTAAGTCAAAGAACAAAAATCTGAGGGATCTACAGCTTATGTGGGAACTTGCATCATGTTTAGTTATTTAGAAGAATAAAATACGCGTTAGTCAAGAAGTCAGAATTTACAGCAGTTGTATATTGTACCTCATTCATATTATATTACCTACATAAATATGCAACATTAAGTATGTAATCGATATATTTACCGCTAATTAGGTATTACGTTCTACAAATAAAATAAACGCATTTGTATACTTTACGTAAATGATTGAAGTCATAATTTTCCATCAGAAATTAAAACATGTTATGTGGTGGCAGTTGCGAAATGGGGTGCGTGGAAACTTTCTTAAAAGTAAAAAGTTAACGTATTTGCGAAACAAAAAATTCGTTGGGAAAGCTTACAAGTTCATGCTGATGTCGTAATGATCAAACTGAAAGAAAATTTCCCCAGACATTTGTTACCAAAAGAATCGTTTGAAAAACCTCTTTTTAATTAATGACGAAATAATATACCTTAGCACACCTATTATTACGCATCAAACTTATTATTTTGCGGACTGTTACTGAACAAACGGCATTGATCATAAATAAAGCGACTATTTATGCACATAATAGATACCTATTTGCTAGCATATCAATAATATTGGTACTTATTCCTATTAGCTTCTAATAATAGACTATTGCTTAGGTTGGGAGTTTTAGGTTTCCTATAACTAACTTCAGTAGAATTAACTTATGCTATGCGAATAAAGATACACTCGCATCGTTTTTAACTCGTCGAGTACCGTCATTATAGACACAATTATAGAACAATAGGTTGCGGTCACCGGTGACCGCTTGGTGTTTGACAGTTTAAACATGATATAGGTAATGAATTGGTGCATTGGTGGGAATTTTTTTATGAGATAAGCCGATCATCAAGCAAACAAATCACTTGGATGGCAAGCAATCCTCGCCGCCCATAGACACCCGAAACACCAGAGGCGTTACAATTGTGCGCTACCGGCTAATCATTTATGCCATAAAGTATTAGTTTTTGATATTACATAATATATCGAAAGTCAATAACTAGCTGGTTGAATACTCAGCTGTAAACGCTATCAAAAGATCCTTTAAGTGTCCGAATGATTGCTCGTTGTTTCAGTTTTTTTTTAAACAGTACCTTTCTGAAGTTGGCTGGATTCTATTGATTTGTTTAAGAGTAAGGCGTGGGTGTGACTACTTATAAGTAGGTATACCTATACAGTTCTTTAGCTAACCTTTCGAGGAATACCGACGTGACCTCAAGTTATGCAACTCGTTTAAGTTTCTAGAGAATAATTGTGGTAAGTGTAGAGTGGCGTAGGTCTCGGTAGGTATGTACTGGTTGTACCTACCGATTATTAAAACAATCTATATCAATAAAAATGAACTTCCGTTCTTTTGTCGCGCTAAAACTTGGCTGGGCAAATTTTGGTTTTGAAATGTTCGTGAAAGTTCAGATGAGGTTTAAAAGCTGAGAAAAAAATTTTAGGCGGTGCCTACGAAGTTTGTCGGGTTAGCTAGTTATTAATATAGTCTCTAGACAAGTGTATTATGATCAATGGCTTGCTCGTGTAAATGCTTGTCAAGGGTCTCGACTACTTACAAACCACGCAAGGGGCTCATATTCATGAGCAGCATTTATGTTGTGTGTTATATGTTAATAAATGAATAACAAATCCGTCATCACTTGGTCTTAATAACTACTCTACAATCGCGCATGATATCCTCCATAAATTAGAAGTCTAAGAATGGTTTATCACCAAGTACAGATCTTTTAATATTTTATTATACAAGTATATTTGGGACGTCGGCGTCGGTAAGGGTAAGATGAAAATTTACGCAACGATAAAGGGGGTCTAGTGCGGTGTCGGTCAACATTATACATTTTCATTCAGACTTTAATCTGTGTACACCAGTGCACTGGTAATACTAATTAATACATCGACGTAGAATAACATATAGCGGAATTTATTGTATGACACGATATCTGCAAGTGAGAATCAAAGGCCGTTATGCGTCATAGGTGCTAAATCTACCTACGTAATTAATATCGATGCTTAAGTGCTTTTACACACGTTCCGGTTCGGGTAGCCGGCCGGTACCGGGCGGTGCTGTGCATGTAATGTAGCTTTCACACGTTCCGACGTAATTTGTATACAATCCGCCGCCGGGTATTCAGCACCGGCTACCCGGCAACCCGAACGTGTGAAAAGGCACTTAACTACTGATCAGAACCTAGTCAACAACTATAGCTTTCCTATTTTATTGGATTTTTAAGCTTGATACATAATAATTATTTAGCAACCTGTTCGTAATACACACACCAATCATAAACGCGAGAGACAATGTTTATCGTGCATGGCTGTAACTAGGTGAACTACGAAATCCATATGTACGAGTATTATAAATAAGTAGATAGATCCAGTATAGCAGATATCAAAAATACGTAGCGATAAAAACGTCACTATCGATAAATTACGATAAGAAATCGGGCATACCCCCCGTAAGCGAAAGTTTGAAGTTTATGGTTCGATTTCCGAGTAAATAAAATGTGCGAAAGTAATGGTATACCTATTTGAGGCAAGTAATTTAACATGTGCTTATTACATGTATGGGATAAACTAAACATGATCACTGATGTATAGAGCAAGTTTATTTCGATAGTCGAGCGTATTGCGACGCGCGACGCCTACGCGTTTGGGAAACAACAGGCTAATGATGTTATGATGTTGATTAGAGGATGATGCACAAGTTGCTAAAATAGCTGCTAAAAGTATTATAAAAATTGTTGCATTAAAATTTACATGTTTTACAAAAATTACACTAATTTAAAAGATGTTTATAAAGATAGCTCCCTGTCTATGTAAACTTGTTGTCTGTATATTGCAAGTAGATAAGTACACTCAAATACAAAAATGAATATGCACATCAAATTACTACAAAATAGATTTAAAACTTGATCCTGTTTACCAACTCAAGAATAAACACTATAATTTATAATTGCTCCACCATTAAGAATAAATTATAATTCTTACTTCCTAAATTTTTAACTAAATAGACATATACTTCATATACATATCCTCTTGACAATTTTTTCTTATAAGAATTATAATATTAAGTACGAAAATAATATTACTCTAAGAAAACATTATTGGGACATAGAAATAATGTTTTTTTGCTTAGTAATAAAGTTTCAATATCAAGACAAGGAAAATTAATCCTTCTTTCTAAGAGTCTAAGAACTATACTTAAGTTCTTATGCAAAATTAATCTACTTAAATATAAGTAATGGTTTGTTAATGTAATTTAATAATTTAGACCAGTTTCATGGCTTGAGATATTGTTAGTCTGAAAATGTTTAAAGATAAATAATTGCTATGATGCAACAAACTGAACAAAGGAAAAGGAGTGATGAGAATATAAGGCATAAACAATATACACAATAATATGGTTCACAGACATACTTTGTCTCTCATTCAAATTAAAAAAAAATTCAGACAGTAGGTAACATAGTACAGCCAAATATAGAGGTACTTACATCATCATCCTGATAATTTTTTAAAAGTAAACTCACCATAGTTTGTTTATATTCTAAGCCAATTAAAACATGCCACACTAAATAATTATAATATTTAAAAGCTGAAATTATTGAAAATATTTTTTAGTTGATAGATCTTTAATCTTAATAAATTAATAATTCATTACAACACTCACCTCTATAAATTTCCATAAAATAGATTTCAAGTCACAGCCCAATAAATGATGTTGCACAGAATTTACTTATAATAACAGCTCAATCACAAAACTGTTACAATGTTTTATTGATTACCACTTAACGTCTCATTACCACTCAACTATAGAATCAAATTAACAAGTCCCACTGAAAGGTTTCCAAAACATTAATGTATTTAAAAATATCGAAATACAGATAAAAAATTGCTCATGAAACAGGATTCTACTCCTTCTAGAACGTTTAGAATATGTTACGTCGATATAAGGGAGGAGGTAATCACAGAAGTGGCGTACAAAACTACTGAATTATGAGAATTATAGAAATGTCAGATCCGTCCACGCCACTTGCAACGTGACCACAACGTGACCTAAATGTTTGTATTATGCACACATACAAATGTGTTTTTCTAAGACGTAACAATCACAAAACGTATTCTAGTTAGATACCTTTTTGCAAGAGCTCTTGGAAATAATGATTCAGTCAGTTCAAGTCCGATAAATCACAACAGCAAAACGATTAAAATAAACACTTTTATTTATTAATTTTAGAAGTGCTCGTAATTTATCCGTATTAAAACAGGACAATTGACAATGACATTGATGATAGATTTTGCAATTGACATTAGACAACATTTTACAAATGTCAGAATGACGTTTATGTGATGCGTTCAAAATTATAATATTTTTATTAATCATTTATTTTTAAGCTATAAATTATTAACATTGTTGATATAGATATAAATCTGCAGTATAAATAGTTAACTTTTATCTAGAATTATAATATCAGAATGGTAACTACACAAAAAAGTAATTAGTACGGTTTAGGATTAATCTATAGTTCAACAGTTCACTTTTTTATTTATAACATAGTATTCACAAAAATATAAAAAAAATACTTAAAATATAACAAAGAACGTATTACGAATGAGTATGGTAAAAATCTACTTTTCCTTTACCGCACACATAGATAGAGGTAGTATTTCAACCCGGCCCACCGCCTGCTTCTATATAAGGCCCACATGGAATACTGGTCTCGACTTTGGGCAGGGGCACCCCAGTACCAGCTTCTTCTTCTGGACCGCGTTCAGCGGCGTGCCATTCGAATTGTTGGATGTAGGAAAGTTTTAAACTGGCTAGACACTTTGGCAATGCGTAGAGATTGTGCATTTTCTATCGCTTCTACCACGAGGAGTGCTCTGAAGAATTAGTTGACCTGATGCTTGCCGCAACTTTTCGCCATCGACCCGCACTACTGCATGTGCAACCCCATTGCATAGATGGTTGGCAGGCCACAACTGTGCGCTTCTCACGTAGCTTTCTGCCTCGCATAGCAAAACTGTGGAATGATCTGTCGTCGGCGGTATTTCCAAACCAATACGACCTTCTAACCTTCAAGAGAAGATCTCCGGCCACCGTACGGGCCTGCGGACGGTGAGCATGTGTGGCTCACCGTCCGACCAGTCGCGTTCCGCGCGCGCCGTACTAAAAGAGCTATCAGACTGCCACGGATGGGGCTGATGCCAATAGGGCTGATGCCGATTCGGAGTTGAGGAGAACATAACAGGTTACCGGGGCTCCGGCTCGAAGCGCATGAGAAGGATTGGGTGGTTTTTAGTCAGTAAGAATTTGACACTCCCTCCCGCCTCACCTAGGCGGGAGCAGACAAGAGAGAGAGACAAAAGACCGTATTCATTTTTAAAAGGCTAGCAACGGACCTGTTACTCCTCTACTGCCTGTTCCATACAATATTTTTATTTTTTTCTTTAAGTTATAATATAAAGATAATGTTAGTTTCTTCGTTTTCTGAGAAGCGCAGAAAAATAAAATGAATTATTGCCAGCATAAAAACTGGTTTTGATTACAACTTACAAATTTAGGGGCTTGCAACATTTTTGTGTTCTTTCAAAAGTGACCGTCCGAGAAATGTACGTAAAATTTTAGGTTTTAATTTTATATCTAAATGTATCTTAATGTATATTAAAGATTTCTATTTGGAAATTATAAAATAACAATCGTTCTATACGTATTCTTCGGAAATTGGTTTAATTTTACGTTTATTGCAAAACATTGGATTAATTTCAGTGACGGGACGTAATCATGGGTCGTGTGATTCGTGCTCAGCGTAAAGGTGCCGGTTCAGTGTTCGTCTCGCACACTAAGAAAAGGAAAGGAGCACCTAAACTCCGTTCCTTGGACTATGCTGAACGTCATGGTTACATCAAGGGTGTCGTAAAGGTTAGTTTTCACATCAAATAATCATCAAAAACATTGTGTACACCAAGTGTCAGAGTCATACAGGTAATGCTAAGTTTTCTGTATTTTACTTAGGACTGCATGAACTACATCAATTGACTAATGTATTTTACTTAGGACTGCATGAACTACATCAATTGACCAATATCTATCCAGCTTAATAATAAATGGTCATCTCATCACAATCGAGATATAGTTTAATTTTCGAAGGCTCTATCAACAATGACAACTGTTTGTGCTTACAGGGGTAGTAGCGATAGACTTATGTGGTTACAAGTATTCTTTGGAATCACATGAGTACTTCTTTTATTTTAGAAGTTTTAAAACCTATTTTTTAAAACATAACCTCAAAATTTTAAATCTAGCATCAATATGGCTGCAGTGTTTCACAACAATGGTTTAACTCGTCGAGTACCGGTTTTGTAGACACAATTATAGAACAATAGGTTGCGGTCACCGGTGACCGCTTGGTGTTTGACAGTTTAACTCGTGGATCGTTTATTTTCCATCGGTCAAATTTGTATACAACTACATGGTTAAATTAAAATACACTATCAATTCACAACATAATATCTAACAGTCGTTATAAGTTAACAATAGACTGAAATCCAATGATTCGTCTTGTATTGAGTTTTAACTTCTTGTCTGTCGATATATGAGCCACAATAGAAAACACATTGTGTCTCGCGTTCCGACAATTCACAGGTTAATATTACTCTACCGTCATTAAACTATATAGATAAAAATTAAATAGGGATACTCATAGACCAAATTACCTTCTAAGAAAGCTTAATAATAATTATTACAATACACAAATCAATTCTTACACTACTTGTGATTAAAAATAACAATTTCCTAATTTTTTATAGGACATCATCCATGACCCTGGTCGTGGCGCCCCTCTGGCCGTTGTTCACTTCCGTGACCCCTACAAGTTCAAGACTCGCAAGGAGCTGTTCATTGCCCCTGAGGGTCTGTACACTGGCCAGTTTGTTTACTGCGGCAAGAAGGCTACCCTTGAAGTTGGTGAGTTGCATTTGTTTTCAAAACAAAATAATTTTTATAATGATTCATAACAAAATTTAATTTTTTTATAATAGAGTCACGCATTACTTTGGAGAAATCCATGCTACACTAACAATTGGGACAATATTTAGCTAATGTATCATTTGCAGTATCATGTTATGGTTCATATTTTACTAATTATTTCTTTAAATTTCCAGGAAATGTCATGCCTGTGGGTGCTATGCCTGAGGGTACCATTGTATGCAACCTAGAGGAGAAGATGGGTGACCGAGGTCGGCTGGCTCGTGCCTCTGGAAACTTTGCCACTGTCATTGGCCACAATCCTGATGCCAAGCGTACTAGGGTTAAGCTGCCATCTGGAGCTAAGAAAGTTTTGCCATCAAGCAACAGAGGCATGGTTGGTGAGTAAATTGATCCAAAAATTTATTATTTTTTCGTATTTACAATATCATCTAACATTTTATTATAAAATTTTAATAAATTGGACTTTGAAAATGATGACTTTCTACTTACCTACTCTGACAATTCTTTGATTACACAAGAGGCTCTTTCTGATTAATAATTTTCACAATATTATTAATTTTTATTTTATAACTTGTTACTGAATATAAAATTTTTTGCAGGTATTGTTGCCGGAGGTGGTCGTATTGACAAGCCTATCCTGAAGGCTGGACGTGCCTACCACAAGTACAAGGTTAAGCGTAACTGCTGGCCATACGTTCGTGGTGTGGCTATGAACCCCGTTGAGCATCCTCACGGAGGTGGTAACCACCAACATATTGGTAAGTATTTCAGCTGCATTATATTGTACCTGTTTGATGAAAATTATTTAGAAAGATGTTTGCTATGATACTTTATTATTATTACAGGTAAGGCTTCGACTGTCAAGAGAGGAACATCCGCTGGTCGCAAGGTCGGTCTTATCGCTGCCCGCAGAACCGGAAGAATCCGTGGTGGCAAGACCGACACCAAGAAGGAGACGTAGACGTATTTTTATCCAAAATAAAATCTGTAAATTCCAGCCTTGCTTTTATTCTCCTTAGAACCACTTTAAAAATTGTATGGTAATAGGTAAATGGTATTTTTAAGTTGACTTGACAAGTAATTGGTGAGTTTTTGCATCTTATATTTGTGATATTAATTATAGATCTGAACTTGTTATTAAAAATCATTTTGTTTTTAGTGTAATCCACCTGCGTGAACTTCACTTACAGTCCACTTTCCAAGAGTAAGTATATTAATAGTTATATTGTTCTGTCTAGCTACTAATAGTTCCCTTAGTTGTTATAGATAACCTATTTTATGAAAATAGGTTGGGATGTTTTATTTTTATTTTACTATCACATGTGTTCTGTTATTGTTTTTTTTCCATGATGACTTTTCACTTACCTACTCTGAATTTCTTTGATTACACAGAGGCTCTTTCTGAAGTTCCACATTAAGCTTTTTATCACTTGTCTTTTATAATAGTGTAGTAATATTACCCTTGCTTTACAGATCTTGCTGTTGCCTTGTAGATATCGACATGGGGTGCCCTATCAAACAATATGTAAGTAGGTATATGTTACTATGTCAAAAACTTGGTGATAGCTTTATTTACCATGTTGTCTGTCCCATAGAATATAAGCTGAGTTTGAAGTTATAGCAGTACTTTTTTAATATGACATGATGACTTTTACTTACCTACTCTGAAAATACTTTGATTACACAGAGGCTCTTACTGATTTTGCTAATATTTTATTTATAAACTGATAAAATATGTGTAGTGTGTAATAACAATAATGTTGAATTTTTTTTTTCAGATTTTCCTGTCTGATGAAAATTGTCACGAAACCTATTACTCTAAAATGTTGCAATGTAAATAAATGTTTCAACAGACTTATCTTGTCCTTATTCGTTTTGTACCTATTTACTATTCATTTACTTAAGCATTTAAGAATCTTGCTCCTGGGCTCGATTCTCGGGTCGTTATAATAAAACTAGGTTTTCTATGATGATAAACAGTACCTATAAATAAATACGCTACGACACGAGTCAGATATTGTATCTACTTTCCAAGGGCGCTGAACGTCCCCTCTGTTTTATTTTTACCCCACTAGCAATGGGGACTGTCGCAATCTACCGTCTGCAAGCAGCAGTCCCGAGACACGCCACTCTATACAATAAACAATGATACGAGTGTGGCTCTAACCCTGGTTCGAGAGGGTAACACGCGAAATATAAACTTCCGTAAGATTTTTGCGACTTACAGCTCTGCTCGATATCGAATACCATAATGATAAAATATCATATTCGCGGTAGTGAAATGTTATTAA